TCCTTCATCGTCAACTTACACCCGCGGTACAGATAATTTGCCACTATTGTAGAGAGAAGTTCCTTGAGGATGGGCTCCAGCACGTGTCCGAAAGCTTGGAAGACTAAACCTCTGGTCCCAGTGACCGACCCAGATTGCATCTTTGCAGTCAGGTGTTGTGACCCAGGCTCAAGTAGGTATTATTAGATGCAATCAGTTCCAAAACAAACAGACTTTATTAGAACAGCTGAGAATTAACTCATTCCCAGCGTAGTCCAAACTAATTCAAAACAAATTCTTCATAACACAGCCTTATCACCAACCTTGGTCTAATTAGGCAACCTGCCAACGGCTTTTCTTGGCAAAAGTTCAGAAGCAGAAGACACCGACAAGAAATAAATGTAGCAAGACAAGAAACAAATCTATCAACGTTGTTTTCTGACAAAGAGCCCAAGAGCCATTGCTGGTCTTTTAAGCCTTATGGGAGGGGCCAATCATATCTTGGCCTTACTCCTGAGTCATCCTTTTTGCTTTAGTTGCTCTTGCCTTTTGGCAGCTCTTCTCATGCATGCACTAGGAACAGGCTCCTATTGTTCCTCTGCCTCTCTGCTGTCAGCCTCTGGAGGCTCCGGAGTCCGCACATAACTCCCAGATGGCCCTGGCCCCATCTCTGCCTCTGACACCGAGCCCTCATCTGGGCCTTCCCCAGCCTCCAGGCCTGGCCCATGTTCCTTTCTGGTTTTTCTTTGAAGATGTTTTGCTTCTCATCCAAGAAGCTTCTTCAGCTCTGACTGGTGGTTGGGGAATGAAAGGATTTATATTCCTTGTAGGTCATTTGCATTCTTTTAGAGAGTTGTTGAGGCCACTTGGAGGTTTATCTGTAACCTCAGGGTCACCTGAGAAGGGGTGTGTGGAGCCTTTTTGGAACTGCTGAAAGGACTGTGTTGTAGAACTGGAGATAAATGATGTCACATCCTCCCCTTCTGTTGAGAGAAGGCTGTTCAATGTTAACATAGATGGCCTCTTTGACCCTTCTTTCAAATCAGTGGTCCTCTCTGCCCAAAAGGTGGACTTTGCTGTCTTTAAAAGAGTGGCTGTTGTCTTTTAAATGCAGATGGACTGCTGAATCTAATCCTGATGGGTTTGTTCTCCTGTGTTGTGCCATGTGCTTGTGAAGTGGTTGTTTTGTTTCCCCAATGTACAGATCTGCACATGGCTCACTGCATTGTACTGCATATACCAAGTTGCTCAGTTTGTGTCGTGAGTGTTTTATCCTTGGGATGGACAAGCTTCGGCCTTAATGCATTCTTGGGTTTGAAGTGTGCATGCATGTTGCATTGGCTGAAAATCCTCATGAGCTTTTCTGATATTCCTGCAACGTTGCTTCTGTTATTGTTCTCTTCATTGCCTGTTATGGAGGAGCTTCTATAGGGTCTTTTTTGAGATTTGATGAAGGCCCACCTGGGATAGCCACACGTTCTGAGGGCTTCCTTGAAAAAAGCACCTTTGGGACTACCATGACCTGGATGACTGAGAATTTCCATAGACAACCAACCTAGAACAAAGTAAAAATTTCCTGACAGTGAGAACAATTAACCAGCGGAACAGCTTCCCTCCAGATGTTGTGGTTGCTTCATCACTGGAGGCTTTTAAGAAGAGATTGGTCAACCATTTATCGGAAGTGGTGTAGCGTCTCCTGCTTGAGCAGGGGGTTGGACTAGAAGACCTCCAAGGTCCCTTCCAATTCTGTTATTCTGTTATCTTTAGGACCTGTGGACTTCAACTTCCAGAATTAATCTTGGCTCAGGAATTCTGGGAGTTGAAGTCCATAGGTCATAAAGGGGCCATATATGTCCATCCCTTCACGAAAGACTTTATGAAAAAGCAGGAATCCTCAAGTCAATCTTTCCAAGCCTCTCTGCTCCCGTATTGTCTGAAATAAAATTTGCAGAATTCCTTGCCCACTGTGATGGCATTCTGACTGTGATGGCATTTTGGCCACTACTGCGGGCTGGTCCTTCCCTGTTTCCAGGGTGGCTCCGTGGGCCAGAGGATTGCAGGAGGCCGTCGCGGCTGAAAACAGGGCTGGGAGGGGGGGACACATGTAGACCTCCCGAGCTCCGTTTTCGCTGGCCGAGGCACCATGGGCCGGTCCTTTGCTGTTTCCAGGGGGTCCCCCGTGGGCCATCTTTAAGCACCCCGCAGGCCGGATCCAGGCCACTGGCCTTGAGTTTGATACCCCTGTTCTAGGATACCTTTTCTAAACAATGAATTACTCAATTTTGTTGTTGTTGTTTTAACCCCAGGAGGTAGAGAGGCCCTTGATCCAAGGTTGATTCCTAGTTACTACATATATACATTTGTGCAGTTTCTGGCAGCTTGTTTCAGAAGGAGTTTGCTCTTATCTTCTAGATAGGACGATGCTTTGACCTTCCAGTCTAGCCTACAACCTTGTAAATCCTCACAAAGTGCTCCACTCAAGCCCATTTCTTCCAACGTTAGACAAGATCATCCAGTAGTTAAAGCTTGATTCATGGCTCTCTAAATGTCAAGCGTTGTGTTCCTATGTCGGTGTTAGGTATTAATGTGTTGTAGGGCCTTGTTGAGGCAGGAGTTTGCAATTAGTGGCCTCGCTTGTAGCCCAGACTCTCTCAATTTTGTATAAATCCACAAACATGGCACTCCGATTAGGAGGGAGGGAGAGGTTCAAACCTCTTTGCTGATTTCTGCAGCTTAACTCGGTGACTATCAGCGATTTCCACTCACGACGTTCCTTGGTATACCAGCACTGAGACAAAGCCAATTATTCCTTGGCCCCCTCCAGAATGAGGGTGCTCTAAAACCCGAGAGCCGAAATGTTGAAATTTCAAGCGGTACATGAGTTTCAACCGAAATAATAATAATAATAATAATAATAATAATAATAATAATAATAATAATAATAATAATAAAAATTTGCTGACTAGAATCATAGAATCACAGGGATGGAACCTTGGATGTGTTCTCTGCCCCAGGCCGGAAACCTTATATTGGGGGTGTCAAACTCGATTTTGTGGAAGGCCGCATCAGAGTTGTGTTTGACCTCGGAGGGCCAAACGGGAGTCGTGGGGCGTGGCTGGGGTGTGACCTTGGGGGGGCGTGTTGGGGGCACCTGTGGTGGCCAAGTGCTAAGGCAGAACTTCCCTCCTATTATAATCTCCTCCCTCCCTCCCTCCCTTTTTCTTTCCTTCCTTCCTTCCTCCTTCCTTCTTTTTCCTTCCTTCCTTTCTCCTTCCTTCCTTCCTTCCTTCCTTCCTTCCTTCCTTCCTTCCTTCCCTCCCTCCCTCCCTCCCTCTCCATTCTCCTTCCTTTTTCCTTCCCCTCTTTCCTTATTTTTTCCTTCCTTGTTCTCTTCCCATCTTCCCATCTTTTCCTTTGTCTTTCCTTTTTTCCCCCCTTTCTCCTTTCCTGCCCCTTCTTGCATGCTCAGATGAAAAAGGGGGAAACATTTCTCCTTTTGTTTTGTTTTCAGTTTGTTTTGATAGCCCTCAGCCAGCGAAAACAGGGCGCGCCACCCCCCCCCCCCCCCTCCCCCCCCCCCCGAGCTCCATTTTCGCTAGCAGAGGCACTGCAAGCAGGTCCTTTTCTGTTTCCAAGCTGACCTCGTGGGCCAGATCTAAGCACCCCATGTGCTGGATCTGGCCCGCGGCCCTTGAGTTTGTTTGACACCGCTGCCTTATACCATCCCAGACAATCTTTTCTTCAAGACCTCCAGAGATAGAGCAGCCACAACTCTGGGACAACAAGCTGTTCCATTGATTAATTCTTCTTCCTGTCAGGAAATTCCTTCTTATTTTCAGACTGGCTTTCCCTCTGATGAGCTTCCACCCATTGCTTCTTGCCCTGCCTTCAGATGCTTTGGAGAATCAGTCAATGCCGCCTTCGCTGTTTTAGGAACACAGGATGGCACAATTGTCCAACAGTGGCCTTAATTTCGCAAAGGGATAAAAGAGCACGGGTGAAATCCAGTAGGTTCTAACAGGTTCTGGAGAACCGGTAGTGGAAATTTTGAGTGGTTTGGAGAACCGGCAAATACCACCTTTGGCTGGCCCCAGAGTGAGGTGGGAATGGAGATTTTGCAGTATCCTTCCCCTGGAGTGGGGAGGGAATGGAGATTTTGCAGTATCTTTCCCCTGGAGTGGGGTGGGAATGGAGTATCCTTCCCCTGGAGTGGGGAGGGAATGGGGATTTTGCAATATCTTTCCCCTGGAGTGGGGTGGGAATGCAGTATCCTTCCCCTGGAGTGGGGAGGGAATGGGGATATTTTGCAATATCCTTTCCCCAGGAGTGGGGTGGGAATGGAGATTTTGCAGTATCCTTCCCCTGAAAAGGGGTGGGAATGGGATTTTGCAGTATCCTTTCTCCGGAGTGGGGTGGGAATGGGGATTTTGCAGTATCCTTCCCCTGGAGTCGGGAAGGAATGGGGATTTTGCAGTATCCTTCACCTGGAGTGGGGAGGGAATGGAGATTTTGCAGTATCCTTCCCCTGAAAAGGGGTGGGGAATGGGGATTTTGCAGTATCCTTTCTCCGGAGTGGGGTGGGAATGGAGATTTTGCAGTATCCTTCCCCTGGAGTCGGGAAGGAATGGGGATTTTGCAGTATCCTTCACCTGGAGTGGAATGGGAATGGAAATTTTGCAGTATCCTTCCCCTGAAATGGGGTGGGAATGCGGGTTTTGCAGTATCCTTCCTCTGAAGTGGGGTGGGAATGGAGATTTTGCAGTATCCTTCCCCTGGAGTGGGGAGGGAATGGGGATTTTGCAGTATCCTTCTCCTGCCACACCCACCAAGCCACACCACGCCCACCAAGCCACGCCCACACAATCGGTAGTAAAAAAAAAAATGAATTTCATCCCTGTAAAAGAGGCTTTGTTAAAGATGCTTATGCCTGAATCTGTAACTCTGTTAACTGTAGATAACAGGTACCTTACAAACATAAATTTGTTCTAATGTGTAATTTCTTCCCTTTGATATGGTTCCAGCTCTCTACACGAACGAAGAAGCGCGAACGGTTTAAGTATCCATTGTTCTGAGAATTGTCTTTCAGGCAACAGTGAGTAAAATTTTGCGACTAATTGTAATTCATACTTGAAAGGTGTTCTCAGGTGTTTTATCTAGGGAATTTAGAATCTCAAATGGCTGCAATTATAAAGGAAGGCTTTTATAGATGCAAAAGTAGAATATCTTATATTTTTTTTTTTAAAAAAGAAGGAAATAATGTTTCCAACTGGTAGCACAGATCTATTCTATTCTATTCTATTCTATTCTATTCTATTCTATTCTATTCTATTCTATTCTATTCTATTCTAT